CGGTGTGGCCGCAGCCTCGGGAGCGGCCGCTGCTGCGGCTTCAGGAGCTGCTGGTGATGCTGCTGGCGGTGCAGCCGCGTCGGGGGCTCCGCCTGGGACTCCGCCTGGGGCCCCTTCTTCGCCGCTGTCGTTGGACTTCCTCTTCTTGGCCGAGAGCCGCTCCAAGTGCCGCTGCTGTTCCTGCCCCAGCGCGGCCGCCTTCTCGCGCAGCGGCCCGAACAGCTTGTCGAGCGCTGACTTGAACTCCGAGGTGAGCTGCTCCTTGCGCCTCGTCGCCTCGTCTCTGTCTTCTTGGGACACCACGTCGCCCAGGGTCTCCAGGCCGAACATGTTCCCATCGTCGAGCAGCAGATCCTCGCCGTCCAGGAGCTTCGAGAGGTTGATGCGCGTGGTGGCCTGCGCGGTGTCGGGCTGGTCCGCGTCGGCGATGCTGGTGTGCAACTTGCGCACGCAGGCCTGGTAGTGCGCTCTGGCTGCGTCCAGTTCCTCGCTGTGCTGTTCCACCTCGCGCTGGGCCTGCTCGACCTGTTCCTCCAGCTTCTCAAGCTTGCCGACCGACTTGCTGAGGATGGACTCGGCACGGTCCAGGCGGGCCTTCGCCAGTTCCAGGGACATGTCGTCGTCGAGCTTGCTCTTGCGGTGCTCGTCGAGCCGACGCTGGTAGCTCGCGGCAGCTTCGGCGTCGCCAGACTCGGAGAGGAGGGCGACCAGGCTGACCAAGCGCTGCTCCTCCCTGTCCACGCTGTCGCCGATGACCTCGGGCTTGAGGTCGAAGGCGACCTGCGGTGGGCCGCGACTGGGCCTGCGCTCGCGCGACTGGGCCCGCCTGGGCGGCTGCGCAGTGTGCCATGGCCGCCTGCCCGCAGCGCCGCCTGCACCAGCAGCAGAAGGAGGAGCAGGAGACCGAAGGGCACCACGCTGAGCCGGCCTGCTGGGCGGCCGCGGTGGGGCCTCTGAGGGAGAGAGAGGCCCTCGGCAGTGCTTGCACCACCGCCACCATGCCAGGTTCTTCCCGCAGCCGCAGCCTTCGCACTTGACCATCTGCTGGTCGCTCGAGGCCGCGCCATTCATCGGCACGAGGGGTCCTGGCTGCTGTGCGCTGTGATGATCACGCAGCAGGCCAGCCGCCTGCCCCAGACGTGCCAGGGTCCTGGCCCACGAGCGATGTCGGCGCTGGCGCCGATGGTCGGCTCCCTCCCGAGGCCGCGCCGTGGCCGAGAGGCAGCACTAGGAAGAATCGCGGTTCTATCCGAACGCGCGTGAGGTTAGCCTGGAAGGGGGGCGTACGGTCCCAGGTATGCCCCCTGCGCTCAGGCCAAAACCTTCCTCCTCCTCCTCCTCCTCCTCCTCCTCCTCCTCCTCCTCCTCCTCCTCCTCCTCCTCCCGATTCCTGATTCTAGGCGGCTGAAAATTCCTCCAGATGTAGCCCTCCCCCCCGGGCCAGTCGGCCTTGGGCGGAGTGATTAAATTAAAAGCGTGCGATTCTTGGAATACCGCTCCACGAGTCGCTGGCTCAAGGGTGGAAATGATGAAAGTAAGCGTAGTGCGATTTCCTCCAACTCCTCCTCATGAGCCCCCCTTCTTGTTGGCCGTTCGTGGCCACAATGCTCCAGGTCTGGCATAGTGGTTCGGCAGGTCGGTTGTCTAGCGTTGCAGCCTGATGCTGCTGGCTCGGGCAGCTCTGGCTGCTCCGTCATGCGGCGGGCGCACGGTGTGAGGCATACTCAAGTTTGGTGGCCGTGCGCGGCCTGGGCCCGCGAGGGGCCCTGGGGTTTGGCGGTTCACCCGAAACCTCCACCTCGGTGGTGTTTTTGTTGCTGGTTCTCTTCGGGTTTAGCACCAACCCTTGTGTTCTGTGGCTAAGAGGTGGGCCTTCGACTGCGGCTGGTCGAGGCTATGCGATGTCCGCAGGCCAGGCCACGCCAGTGGGACCGAAGTAGAGCATGTGAGTGGCTCTGAGGGGAAGTGGAAGAGGGAGAGTGGGGCATGGGGAAGACAAGAGGAGGAGGCTAAGCACTGGTAATATCGCTTGGCGTCTGGGTCTCGCTCCTGCGGCGTTGACAGCGATAGCAGGCGGTGGAGCATCGACATCTCCACCCTGGTCCCAAACGCACACTCCGCCTCCCCCGCCACCAATCGATGACGCATCGGCGAATAGCACGCACCGTCGGGCGCCTCGGAGGAAGCCTCTCAAAGGTGTGGGTTCACCGACCCGTCGGACCGCCGTCTCCGTCACCGCCAGCCTGACGTCCACCTCCATTGCGACGTCCTCCACCACGAAGTCGACCTCATCCACCGCCGCCTCCTCAAGGCCCTCCTCCTTCTCCTCCCCAGCCTCGTTCTCGGCCTGGTCCTCTGCGACCGCGGCCTTGTGATCTAGGTCCTCGGTCTGGTGCCCGAGGGCGGGTTCGGCGTAGCCGTTGATGACGTCGAGGTTGGCGACGCAGCAGGCACTGGGGAAAAGGTCGGCGTCGTTCTGCGTGGTGTGGCCGCCGGTGCGGGTGATGTCGGAGCCGGCGGAGGTGTCGTCGCTCGTGTGGCGTGCTCTGCTCGTGCAGCCGATCCGCCGATGCTGGATGCCGCTGTGCGGTCCCGAGGCCGGCCGCCCGGCGTGCCGCCTGCCAACCGTGGCCTGCACAGGGATGCCTTGGCACAAGGAGCAGTCTGGAACCGGGTGGGTGCCACGACCGAGCAAGAGGCGCCGTGCTCCCAGCACTGGATTCCGAATTCCGCGAACCTGTGCCATCACTCAATCACCCACCTCCCTCCCCGGCGGCAGCCGACCCGACGTGGGTGGGCGCGGGGTTTCGGCCGTGGTGGCAGGCGCCGTGCTCCTGGTCTGGAAGGCGTCAGAAACCTTGGAGCGGGCAGCACCTGTGGCAGCCAGCAGGTGGAGGCGCCGTCGTTGGCGGTGCCGCCTTCGAGGGTGCAGCTGGTCTCGTGAGGGCAGCCGCCATTCCCGCCTGTGGATTACCAGCAGCTGGGCGGGGCGAGCTGGGGCGAACGCGGCAGCCTCTGGGCTGAGCTTGAACGTGTCCGTCTGGGTGATGGTGTTGGTGCACGCGTCCACGACGTTGGTGTAGTCGTATCGTTCTCGATGTCGGCTGTGATGAGCAGGGCTGCCAGCCAGAATCGTGGCCAGGTCCTCAGCCGTGCGGTCGCTTTGTGCGGGCGGCGTGGGCGAGCCTCCGGTACGCCTTGGCGCTCTGGCGAGCGGCGTTCGGAAGCCTGGGCCCATCCAGGCCCGTAGCCTCGCAAGTCGTGCGGTGTCTCTCGTAGCCAATGTCGTGGTCCTCGGCGCAGGCTGTGTCGCGGGCGCCGCGGCCACTCCTCTGCGCGGGGTGGCGCGGCCGGGCGCCTCGCCCAGCAGTCGCCCGCTGCGGGACCCCCCGCCCCTGTGTCGAGGGCCGGGCGGGGGGGGCCACGCCCCCGAGTCGTGCAACAGTTTCTTCCTCCTCCTCCTCCTTTTCCTCCTCCTCCTTTTCCTCCTCCGCCTCCTCCTCCTCCGCCTCCTCCTCCTTCTCCTCCTCCTCCTCCTTCTCCTCCTCCTCCTCCTCGTCCTCCTCCTCCTCGTCCTCCTTCTCCTCCTCCTCCTCCTCCTCCTCCTCCTTATCCCCCTTGACCCACTCTGACCCACCCACCTCCTCGTTTCGCTTACGTGTGTTACGCGTGCGGCATCGTGTTCTCAAGTTTTCAGAGGCATTCGAAGCCCCAGGGTGTGTCCCATTAGTTGCGCCTTGTCGGGAACGCTTTGGAGATGCCGGAATGTTCCCGAACGGCCACCAGAGACTCGATCGAATGCCCGAAACCCACGCCCAGAACCTTGCAGAAGATCGTCAAACCCCCGGGGCCCTCCCACTCCCTCCTCATCGCCATCGCCCTCCCTCCTTCTCCGCCCCTCCTCCGACATGTCAGCATTTGATAAATAGATGATCCCCCCCCCAGGGCTGATGAACAAACCCAGCGGTCACGCGGGCGCCGCCGACGGGATCGTGCACCCCTTTGCACGCCAGTCTCAAAACAGCTGCCTGTCGTATAGAAGTCGTGATAGAGGTCGTACACCGCCGAGGAGAAGTTTTCCCCCCTCGCAGGCTCACTAGTGACGTGCCACAGTCGTCGTGGTCGTCGTCCCCATCGTCGTCGCTGCCGTTGTCGTTTTCGTTGTCGCTGTCGTTGTCGTCGTCGTCATCGTCGTCGTCATCGTCGTCGTCAACTACAGCGGCCTTACGCAGCATCCCTTTCCCCCCCCTCCCATGGGGCATCCGCAGTGCGTCGACGTCGATGACAGCGGGCCTATGCAGCCCCCCCCCCACCGTGGGGCATCCGCAGTGTCTCGTCCTCGTCGTCCTCGTCGCCGTCGTCGGCGATTACAGCGGGCATGCGCTGCACACCCGCCCGTCCCCCCATGGAGCATGCGCAGTACGTCGCCGTCCGCCGTCGCAGTCGCCGTCGTCGCCGGCGTAAAACAAATTCTAGTGGGCGTTGGGGGAAAGGAGAAGGAGGAGCCCTTTCTGCTCCGCATGCCTCCACCGCTCATCCCCCTCTCTCCCCGTTTTTCTCTGCAGCCATGCACGCACCGCCCGCCAGCTGAGGCGCCTGTTCCCCCCGCCTCTTTGTGTGCTGTCGGTAGCTAGTTTGGCCCAAGCGGCCCGGCATTGCGGAGGCGCTGCTGTCCCCCTCCGCTGGAGCGGCGCCGCTTGCGTCGCTCCTCTCGCTGGCGGCCAGGCGTCGGCGCTAATCACCGGCGCCGCCGCCGTCTGTTTCCACTTGGCGGGCGCCCCCCCCCCCCTCCGCGATTCGCCCGAGCAGGGGAACCAGTTGTTTTAAGCACGCGCCCCCGTGCTTCTATTAATCACAGGCCGACAATCCTCCCCCGCAGTTTCCTCTCCCTTCCTTCCCCCGGCCTCCCTCATTGTTCCTCACCCTTTCTTCCCCCCTTTTTTTTCACGCGGAGCGGACTTTCATCCTCAGGATTGCTCCTCCCCCTCCTCTTCCAGAAGGCGTGGCCCCATGTCGTGA